GAGTGCAAGTAAAAAAAGGAACTAGATACATGAGATTTGAGCTCCCTTTTATAACTTCTGTTTTGGTCCTCCATTCCCTTCCTTTTATCGGTCCCTGTTGGACCTTCTTTTCATGGTCCATACTGGACTTCCTTTCCACGGTCCTTGTTGGACTCCTCTGCTTATCTTATCAATGGACCTTTCCTAAATCACATGACCTTGTGTGCCCAATCCTCAGTTCTGCGGGTTAATGTTTCATCCTGTGTCGCTGTGTTGGACAGCGCTCTGTTCTGTTGGTTTGTAACATCACTCCCCTTCTTCAAGACTTTTGTCCTCGAAAGTATTTAACCCTGCCATTCTCCCATTCCTTAAGTGTTGAACTTTCCTCAGTAAGTCTTCTCGTCATGCTGCGCAAACAGAGTCTGCTTCCTTCCTTTTCTTGGAATTGTCATAAGGAGCATCTTCATCTTGCTGACTTAATTGCTTAATATGGTTTTCCAGTTGAATTTCCTTGCGATCCTTGTTTCCTTCCTTCATCCTTGTGAATCATGGATTCTTCTAATCATCGTTGTTCCAAATGTGTCTGTCATGATCGAAGGTGTAACAGTCGCATCTTTAGCTCTCAAGAGTGGAATGAACAACAAAAGAATGAGCAAAAAATTTCATCTTCTTTAGTCGCTGTCGACTGTCGAATCAATATTCTTTCCCAAGAGATTAATGCTCTTCAAAGTCGATTGTCCTCCTTGCAGCGAGAATTATCTCTTTCACTAGTGGAACATGCCCAATTGCGGAAGCATCATCAGTTCTTGAAAGAACGCGGTCGTCAAATGTTGCTCCACAATTCGTCGATTATCAAGAGCTCCGCTTCTGAACATTCTGTTTCTTTAACTGCCTCTTCTGAGCTCCCCAATTTATCTGAGAGTCAGATGAGTGAGATTCTTCACTGGTCTCCGGGTCCATCTGAGCTTGTCGCTGTTGATGAAATTCTCGAATCTTCTCATGGCAATTTGTCAAGTTCTTGATTGGTTCCCAAGTGTTTTCTGAGGTATCATATCCCTTCCATTTAATCAAGTATTGAGTTTGACTGTTGACTTTTCTCTTTGCCAGAATTTTTTCAACCTTATATTCTTCTTCTGTGGTATCGTCGAGTTCGATGTTTCCAGGTTCCTTGGCATTTTCTGGTGCTTGTTCCAGCAATGAAATATGGAAAATTGGATGTATCTTCATGCTTTCTGGCAGCTTGAGTTTGTAGTTCACTGGTCCAGTTTTCTTTTCAATGGTAAATGGTCCCAGTGATTGTCGTTCCCATCCATCCTGAAGAAAGAAGAACACCAAAATCAGCACCTACAAAAAACACGTCTTTTTAACGCGTCATTCAACTCAGAGAGGCCCCTAGGCCCCGAGAAACCACCATGGAACCCCCCGATCTCCATGGTGGTGGTGTTATTCACGCGTCACCCCCGGCAAACGGCCACGCGGCAAGCCAGCTCACGGAGATCCTGGAGGTACCAGACACCCCAACCCCAAGCCGATGGAATATTCCAGGGCCCCTAGGGCTGGTTATGAATGAGACCGAGCAGGAAAATGATCAA